TGAGAAAGTGTAGTCAAGGTAACTGTGGAGTCGGTGAATTTGTAGTGGATTTTGTTCGACGGCCTGTCCCCAGAAAATGGAAATAGTGAAGTCAAGGAAGGGAAGGAAAGAGTCAGAGATGGACCTGGAGAAAAGGATGGAAATTGGAAGCAAAACTGATTAATTTTATCAATTCTGGATGAGAACAGGAAGCAGTACCAAAGACGTCTTCAGTGTTTCAGAGAAATATTCGTGATAATGATCCTGAGTGAGACTGGAACAAGGAACGCTCCAGAAATGCCACAAAGAGACTGACATAGTGAGAACCATGCAGGTACCCAAGGCCACAATTTTACTTGGAGAAATTGAGATGAGTTAAAGGAGAAATTGTTCAAAGTGAGAATGAGCTCATCCAAATGAAGGAGGGTAGTGGTAATGGATGGAACAGTGTAGGTCTCTTTCCGAGGAAAGAGTGGAGAGCCTTCAGACTATCCTGGTTGGGGGTGATGGATATGTAGAAGGATTGCATGTCCCTGGTGAAGAGAAGGCAACTAGGACCAGAAAACTGGAAATTATCACACCAATATAAACAATCAAAAGAATCACAAATGTAAGTGGGAAGAGACTGAACAAGGGTGGATAAAATAAAGATAGGAAGAAATAAGTTCAATGGGGCAACCAATGGTTAGTCTGTCAGGGCAGTTGTGCTTGTGGATTCTGGAAAGGAGATGGAAGCAGGCTGTGTGTAGTTGGTGGACTGTGAGGTGGGGAGCTGTGGATGGGGGATCTCTGGAAGAAATGACATCTATGATAGTCCTGGAAACTACAGCCTGATGTTCAATGGCGGGGTCATGATCCAGGAAAGATAGTAGGAAGTGATTGAGAGTTGGCAATCAGCTTCTGCCAGGTAGAAAGGTTATTACACCAGATGACAATACGATTACCCTTTCAGTAGGTTTGATAATAAGATCAGGGTTAGACCTGAGTGAGCGCAATGCAGTAAGTTCAGAGAGAGACAGGTTAGATTGGGTGAGAGGAGCTGCAAAATTAAGGTGGCAAATGTCACATCAGTAATTTTTGAAGAGATCAGTTGCAGGCACAAGGCCAGAGGTAGGGTCCAGATAGAGGGAACATATTGGAAATGAGTGATACAGTCTGTGTGGTGGGGAGAGGACTCCTGTCTAAAGAAGTGGGCACAGAGGTGAAGCTGACAGAAGAGGAGTTCAGCATCATGTCACATCTGAAATTCATTGAGGTGGGGGCATTCTCTCCCTTTCACACCTCAATTTACAACCATTTCGCATCCCTTTTTCTCTTTAACTACCATTAACAACCTCTTTTGTCATTTACAATGGGCCTCTCCACCATCTGCCTCTTCCTCCTTTACCTCTGTCCAAAGTATAAAAACATCAGCTTTCCAACACCTTTCGGTTCTGAAGAGCCATACCAGACTCGAAATTTTAACTCTCCACAGATACTGCCAGGCCTGCAGAATTTTCTGAAAACAAAAAAGGCTAGAAATCATAGCAGGTCAGACAACATTTGTGGTGACAGAGCAAGCTAACGTTTTGAGTCGAGATGAATCTTCATCAGAGCTGCTCTCTCTGTCCATGAATGCTGCTTGACCCACTATGATTTTCAGCATTTACAGATTCCAATATCTGCAGTAATTTGCTCCTGCAGAATTTTCTGGATTTGTTTCAGATTTCCAGCATCCCCAATATTTTGCTTTTTTATGAGTGGGAAAAATGGGTTGTTTTCACATAAGGAAGTCATGATGACAGGGTAATGCAGAGTTCAGTGCATGATTCCCAGCTATTCACAATATATCAATGCTTTGGGTGAGGGAGTCAAATATTTTCAAGTTTTATGATGACACAAAACTGGGTGGGAATGTGAACAGTGAGAAGGATATAAAGAGGCTTCAGAGTGCTTTAAATTAGTTGAGTGAGTGGGTAAATACATGGCAGATTCATTTTAATGTGGATAATTTTGAACTTGTCCATCCCATTAAAGAAATAAATCAGCAGAGTTTATTGTGAAGGATAGGGAAAGATTGATGTACAAAGGGACCTGGCTGTTCTAGTATATCAGTGGGGTGGTGATGGCCTAGTGGTATTATCGCTGGACTGTTAATCAAGAGACCCAGATAATGTTCTGGGGACCCAGATTTGAATCCCACCACGGCAGATGGTAGAATTTGAATTCAATAAAATATCTGGAATTAAGAATCCAAGATGCTTGTCGATTGTTGGAAAAACCCATCTGGTTTGCTAATGTCCTTTAGGGAAGGAAACTGCCATCTTTTCCTGGTCTGGCCTACATGTGACTCCAGACCTGCAGCAATGTGATTGACTTTTAAGTGCCCTCTGGGCATTTAGGGATGGGCAATAAATGCTGCCTGGCCAGTGATGCCTTCATCCCATGAAAGAATAAAGGAAAAGAAAAGTTACTGAAAGCAAGCACACAGGTGTAGCATGTAGTTAGAAAAGCATATTGTATATTGGCTTTCATGGCAAAGTGGTTTGAGTGCATAAGTGAAGAAGACTTACTACAGCTGTACAGGGCCTTGGTGAGACCATGCCTCCAGAATACCATGTGCAGTTCAGGTCACCTTACCTAAGATATATTTGCCATAGAGGGAGTGTAGCGAAGACTCACCAGACTGATTCCTGGGATGACAAGTTTGTCATATGAGGAGAGATTGGGGTAAATGGCCCTGTGTTTCCTGGCGTTTGGAAAAATTAGAAAGGATCTCATTGAAATGTATCAAATTTGGACAGAGTTGGGCAAAATGGATCCAGGGATGATGTTTCTCCTGCCTGGGGGAGTCCCCAACAAAGACTCGCGGTCTCTAGATATGTGGTTGGCCATTTCAGTCTGAGGTGAAGGAAATGCCTTCACTCATTCTGTGGTGAACCTATGGAATTCTCTACCACAGGAGGCTGTGGAGACACAGTTACTGAATATATTTATAGATTTCTAAAAGTTAAAGGTATCTAGGGATGTGGGAGAGATTGTCATTGCAATAGAGAATCAGCCATGTTCCTGTTGAATGGTAGAGCAGACTTGATGGGCTGAATAGCTTACTCCTGCTCTTACTTCCTGTGTTTATTCCTCATGCCGTCAAAAATCTCCTTTGTTGGGGACACATAAATATATCAAATTATAAACTGAAATGCAAGTTACCGTTGCTGTGAAATCATAGCTTCCAAAAAAGGCACATTGGTTAAAAAAACTGGAAATGAAGATTATTAAGTACTTTTTGCAGTGAGTACCACTTTTATTTTAAGCTGAATGGCTGTAAACTCTGACATGACTGAAATTCTAATGTAAAAAGCTATAGAGTGGCTTTATCTTTTGTAGCCATGGCAGGTGGGATATATTTCACACTTGACACCTTAAAGGCAAGATACATTCATCCAACCGTTAGGAGCATTATGCAAACATGTTGATAGAGGATACATTAGCTTTTAAACAGGACCCAGTGACAGCAGATTAAACCTCACAGTTCTGAAATGGAGTATATTACAAATCCATCAGTAAATGCATTTCTGCAGTGGTCTCCTAAACATTCAAATAATAGTTGATAAAGCAGTTTATTCTATACTTTGCTTGAAGGGTGAAATAGTAACACTGATTGAGAATAACTGATTGATGTAGTGTCAAATAAAGCTCAAAAAAACAATCAAGGTGTCCTAATGTACCATAAACCACAAGTGCTAGCGATTTAATTGTCAGCAGAACCTCCTTCCGGTTGCACTTGGAAATATGAAGAAAACTGCAGAGCTATTGGGAACGGCACAGAAGTTGGACTGATTAGATCATTTCAGAGAGCTGGCAGAGGTGTGATGCGCTGAATGATAACCCATTCTGACATATTATTCTATAATCCTTAATCACCTCAGTTCTTACTGTTGAGAATTTGAAGGAATGCTCTTTCCTGCAATGCAAAATCTGCTCAGCATATTATAGGGAATTACATCTCTATGCAACCCTAGGGGAAAAAGAAATTTTCTCTGAACACAGTGTAGTTTAAGCATAGGAAAACCAGCAGGTTCAGGAGAAGGGTTATTGGACCTGAAACATTGACTCAGTTTTCTCTCCGCAGATGCTGCCAGACCTGCTGAGTTTCTCCAGCAATTTCTGCTTTTGTTTCAGATTTCCAGCATCTGCACTTTTGTTTTTGTTTTGTGTGGCTTTAAGCATCTTTACCTCAAGAATAGACATTGCCCATTCCTGGAGAGAGACCTCTTTTACTTTGTAATTAATTGTGTGATGCCAGCTGCTTCCACTGTAATCTTAAGTCTCTTTTGGTCCTAGTGTAGAGCCAACTTCATTTAAACATATTGGGTCAGTCCCACACTCAGTGTTTGGTCATGAAGTAGCTCACATCTCTATTCCATTTCTCCTTGAAGTATAGTCTTTTCCTACCTTAATCTGTGCCATTTAAAATCAAGCTATATTGTGACAGGCTGATAGCCTTGATTTTGACTTCTCCACCACAGATCCCAATATTTACTTTTCACTGAAAGTGTGCCAGAGACTCTTTTTCACATCTGTTGAAGCAGTAGTATGATAAAAACATTACAGTTTATCTCAGACATGCCCTTGTCTGATATGCAGATAAATCCACTTTCCAACACAACTCGTTGAATAGTGATCAGGAGCAGGAACCCCTTGACTCAGTGTAATTCTTTGATCCAATGAGCCTGTTTTCAATATAATCAAAAGGATAAACTCCCACACGGAGATAAAAATGGGCCCATTGTTGTGGATGCCATTGAATCATAACCATTTTCACCATTGTGCATGTAAGCATAAAATGCAAACTCTAAACTGATCCTAGTAAACGAAAATCGAGCATGCTAACCCCTCCATCTAGTGGGATGTACGTAAAATATATTAAAAAGGGTAAAGGTCGGACATGGACCAGACCCCACCCCCACTTTCCCAGTTTGAAACTGGATCCAAATATTGTTGATTAAATATAGGTCACCAAATTGTGTTTTTTTTTCCAGATGGAAGGATGTATCTGAAGTCATCTGTCATGTACTGAGACAACGGCGCAGTAACACGCCACATGACATGAAAAGACAATTAGGAACACAAAAGAAACAATGTATAAAAAGACAAAATACTGTCCTCTATGAACAAGCGGGTTAACTGTGCTTTCGAGACAGCTTTACCCAGTCTGCATAACTATGTTACTGTGTCATCCATGAAATGTTTGATGTATTAACGACGAGAGTCCTCTCGCACCAACTGACTTCGACGGCAGAACTCGCTGAAGCAAACACTGTTGCTGAACCAGAAACGACTAAACTCAAATGGTGACTACATTCAGGAGGTCACTGCTGGCAGGCACACATGAATAAATGGCGCAAGCACGAGCTTTGTGCTTTTTCTTTTGGACTAAATTATGACCAGTGCTGACAGGTACAGTGTTAAGCACACCACGCAAAAAATAAACTACTCACCAGTAGTCAAAAAGAAGCAAACAAATTTTTCTTTGTAATATTTGTTGTCCACCCCTTTCCCTCCAGCTCTCTCGTGTTCCTGTCATTGTGTTTAAATCCAGCAAATAAGTTTTAAAGTGTTCTTTCTGGAATTCAATGGAATTTAACTCAGAATTTGGAGGTAATTACAAATCAAACAACACTACATCCATATTATGCAGATGTGTGTTTGAACAAGAGACAAAAAGACATCCACATTAGTTATTAAGGCAAAACTCAGAAGATAAACCTGGTATTGAGATTTTTCGGCATTAGCAACTAAAATTTAAAGAAATACATAATAAAGAGAAGTGAATGTAAGTTGTTTTTAAAAGTCATGAAAATACATAATTGTGCACTCCACCCAGACAAATCTGTGAATGCTGTTTGCTTCTTCCAGCCAAGCTACTGGTCGTGTGTATATATGACACAGGGAGGTAATGTGTATGCAGTAGATTACTAGAGAATAAAACTACACAGTACTTTTGAAATTTAGATGCTGATATGTTTTGTCACTATTTGTTCCAGAAACTGCAATTTTTTTTGTGATGAAGCTCATTAACAAAGCATGCAGGCATGTAAATATTTGTTCTCAAGTCACAGTATTACTGATCGGGATCCTTGGCGTCTGATGTGCGCCTCTGCAAAATCAGCACGGTGGGTCAGAAGTTCCCTTCTGCCTGCCACTCATGTGAGGAGAGCTTGTCTCTAACTCTCTGATACAGAACTGATGATATTAATTAAGATCTGTGGCAATTGCAGCAAGTTGGATCAAAATGCCACAGAAATGTTTCTCATTTTATTTTTAATTATTATTTTCTGCGTCACCTTGAGACGTTACTCTTCAAAAATAAAATAGGAACTTTGCAACACTTGATGTAACAGTTGAAAAAAAACCTAGCTGAGTGGTGAGTTGAAGTCTGTATTCTCCCTGTGTAATAGGGAAGGATGGTTATGTGTAATTATCACTGTCTTTGATAAACTGTGTGTTCACCTTTGTGCAAATACTTGGAAGTAAACTCCAACACAATGCTAATTTGCTAGTGTAGCTTTTTCTCTTCATTTTGCCTTTGTTCACTGCCATAGTAACCCTTAAAAAGACTCTCCTTGCAAAGAAAAACAAACTGCCACTGTTGACCACAGTGCAAAGAGGACAAGTTAAACTGTACGTTATTGTACCTTGTCATTTTTCTTTGCCATAGGTGAATTTTGAACCATCAAATCTGACAAATTGATAGGTATTGCAGGGCCCTGAAAATGCTTTCAAGTTCACAGCTTGTCAAAAAAACTTTCCCTTGCTGAACAGTCTATTTGACTGACTTTGTGAAATCTGGTAGCACTTGTCAACTTTTGTTTTAAAGAAAGGGGCAAAAGAATAATAAGAGATGTGGTTTCAAGTTCAATATGACCAACAGCTCAGAAATTTAAGATTACCAATAAAAAGCAATGAGCAAGTTTGAACTTCTGACTGGATCTATCAGCTTGTTTTTGGTATTTGAACAAAACATGTGTCTGTTTTTGAAACGGCAGACCTGAAGTACCAAAAATGCATGAATTTAGAAGAAAAATAGTTTTTGAATATGCAAAGCAACAATAAAAAACCCAGCATGAGATTTTAGCATTTGGGTGGCAATAATAGTATGAGAGATATCTGAAGGAAAAGTTAACATGTAAACCTACCAACATGGAATAATCAAAGACACAATCTGGCAGGTGAATTTTCCATTGTCTTCCCAGTATTTTACTTTCCAGGCAGAGCATCTTAAGAATTGAGAAAGGAAGAATTGAAAATGGAAGATTCTTGTTTTTTTTTAGCAGTGATGGTCTTGAAAGGGTTAACAACTGTGTTGATATGCATTCTGGTAAGGAAAGCAAACAAATTGTCCATGTGATCCTTTGTTTTTAAGACGAGAAAGAAAACATTTAAAAATTCGTACTGAACATTTGTTGTTCCTCTGCTCCTTGCATAGAGTCTTTATTTTAATGTAGATCACCCTGGGACAATTACATATTAGTACATTCCCCATCCCCTTCACAGATTTAGTGCAGTTGTGATCAGTCATATCTCAACAGTTAACATGTGACTGTCAAGACAAAACCATACTCTGCCAATCTAAGTCAGACATTCCCACATTCCAGTTGGCACAAGACACAAGTGGCTGGCACTTTGATGGTTCATCAGGTTTCAACATTTGGTTGAACTGTTTGAGATGCCAAACGCTTTGGTTTTGGAAACAGAAGTGAAAAGGGTAAAAGGAAGCTTATTTAGGAACCCAAATATTGGCGAGGGTTTCAAAAGAAAGAATATTTTAGAATATTAATGCAGGATTTCAAGGAAACATGTCATAAGGTTGTGCTGTAGATTTCTTTCTGAATTACCCCAGTTTTATTGTTTATTAGAATCTGTTCATTGACTCCCAGTACAATTCATTTTCTCATTATTGTTTATATACTTTTCACATGAACATTTTAATGTTTAGCTATCCTGTATTATAACCACATTTGTGCTCTATGCAAGCCCTTGGAACAGAACACACTCATCTTCAACTAAGACATACGAAAATTGTCTATTTTTATCTATATATTTAAAGTTTTCTAAAAAAAAGGTTATTACGAATTTTGTTGTACAAAATCTGTACAAAAAAATCTGTTTTTACATCATAATGCAAGAAATCGAGATTTTTCTATGGTAGCTTAGTTATTTGAGCCTGGTTTAAATGTGAGAACCACGTTTACTGTATTGTATTTAATTTCCTTTCTTTTCAACAATCTGCTAATAAAATTGTCTGAAATCTCCATATGAAGACCACATACTTATTGATTTCTTCCTTCGTAACCTCAGACAGGTTTTTTTCTGGCTCACTTCAAGATATCTGCTCGGCTAAGCTTTCTCCAGTAAGTGCAATGTTATACATGATGGATATTTCCTCATGACTGAGAAAAAACAGGACTAAATTTAGAGCCTCTCTCAAACAGCCAGTGAAAGCATCATGGATTACGTAGCCTCCTTCTGTGACCACCATTCTATGATACAAAACTATGATAGCCACCTTGTTTACTTGAAGAATTGACTTGTTAAAATGCAGTTATCAGTTTGAGTTATACTGGCATCTGTACGTCTTCCACTTACACATGTGCAGAGCTCCCATTACTGGTGACCCGATACCTTAATGTTAGTCAAGTTCTGATTGGAAACACTGCTCATTTGATAATAGGAAAATTGTTCACAATGAATTGTGTAGAGACAAGTGGCAGGTCAGATGATTGAGTAGAACATAAATAAGCAGCGAAGAATGACTAAAAAAAAGCAAATGAAGGAAAACATTTGTGTATGAGAGAAAGATAGAAAAATAAAAACTGACATTAAGAGTTTCTATAAAAATTTAAAGAGGAAACAATTAACAAAGTGAGCCTTAGTAGGAAATGAGCCTGGAGAATTGATAATGGTAAGTCAAGTTTGAAAGTTGATTTGAATAGAGATTTTATATCACTCTTCATTATACAGGATACAAGTAATATCCCAGAACCTGTTATAAATCAGTAAATGAAAGGAAGGGAGGAACTCAAGAAGATTATAAACACAAGAGAACTGGTACTGAGTAAATTGCTGATATGTAGGCTTGTCCTTGTCTCTTATCCTAAAAGAAGTGAAAACTGAGACAGTTTATGCTTTGGCTTCATTTTAGTTTTCCAAAACTCAATAAATTTGGGAAAGATCCCATTAGATTGGGAGCTGACAAGCGTAATTCCTTCATTCATAAAGGGAGGGAGATAAATACAAGAAACTACAGGATAGTTAGCTTAATATCTGACAAAAGGGAAATCTTAAAGCTATTATTGAAGACGTTATAGCCAGGCACTTAGATAAGTTCAAGGTAAAGGCAGAGTCAGCATGGCTTTGTGAAAGGGAAATCATGTTTAGTAAACTACTGAAGTTGTTTGAGGATGTAAGCTGTGCTATATATAGAGGAAAACTAGTGGATATTCTGTACTTAGATTTCCAAAAGGCATTTGATATAGTGCTACATCAAAGATTATTGCAGAAAAGTTCATGGACTACGGGGTAGCATACCAGCTAGGATAGAAGATTGGTTGGCTACCCGGAAGCAGAAAGTAAGCATACATGGATTTTTTTTTCCTGTTTGACAAGCTGTTTCAAGGGTGTTGTGACCTCAACTGTTCACAATTTATTTATTTTGACTAAAGGGAAAGGATGGAAGATATGGTTGTTAAACTTGATAATGACACAAAGATAGGTAAATTACTAAATTGTGAAGGATACATGAAGAGGCTATAAAAGACATGTGTGGGCAACAATTTGAAAAATGTAGAATGATGTGGATGAATGTGAAATTGTCCATTCTGGCAGCAAAATAATCAAATTGGCAAGAGATTACTGAGCTCTGGGGTGCAGAGGAATCAGAGTGCATGAATCCTTGTGCACAAATCACAAAGTATTCATATAGAGGCACAGCAACTATTTAGGAAAGCTCTTAGAATATTAAAATTGAATACAAGAGTAGGGAGATTATGCTTCAGTTATGCAGGGCACTTGTGAGATCATATCTGAATACCCTGCACAGTATTTGATTCATCTTTATTTTAGGTAGGATGTAAATGAGTTGGAAGCTGAAAGTTTTCCATATGAATGACTGGAATGGCCAGGTTGTCTTGTCAGGAAAGGTTGAACAGGCTAATCTTATATTACTAGAGTTTAGAAGAACAAGTGGCGATTTGATTGAAGCATATCCTGAGGAGTTTTGACAGGTGGATGTGGATAGAATGTTTCTTCTGACAAGGTATCACTGGTTCGTATTAAGGAATGACCCATTTGAAATAGAGATGAGGTGATTTTTTTTTCTCATAGCGGGTTGTGAGTTTGTGGCACTCTTTTCCTATAGAAGTGGAAGCAGAGTCATTGAATATTTTGAATATAAGACAGAAGTGGGTAGATTTTTTAGCAAGCAAGAGGGCAAAAAGTGATCGGCGTAGGTTGAAAATGTAGATTTGAGTTTACAATAGGATCAACCATTTTATTGGAGACAAAAAAAACTGCAGATTCTGGAATCCAAGGTAGACAAACAGGAGGCTGGAAGAACACCATCCCATCGGCTGACCAGGTCATATCTACCACCAGTGTCCACCTATCACCATCATTCTGCCTCCACCCTGTTTTCCCCCCACCACTTTATCTGCAGCTCCCCCTACTCCCACATCCAGTCCTGAAGAAGGGTCATACCTGAAACATTGACTGCTCCTTTCATCCAGATGTTGCCTGGCCCGCTGTGTTCTTCCAGCCTCCTGTTTATCTACCAACCATTTTACCAATTGGCCAAATGGTTTGCTGCTCCTTGTTCATATGTTTGCATTCCATCTAACTCAGGTGGCTTTTTGGTTTGCCCAACATGCCTGGAGAAAGCTGATAGTAATCAGATGATATGATATTCCCCATTATTTTGGGGATTCTGTTTTAGCTGGACAGAGCCACAAAACCTGTCCCTATAAATTGTGCTTTGCCTGTAGAATGGTGCAATTAGAATATTTATAGGAACATAGGATTTGGACACAAGAGTTTTGGCCTTTCCAGTCTGCTCCACCTTGCAGAGACCTTGCGTAAGTCTTGGAGTCGTGTTTGGGAACCTGGCTGATGTAGATAGACTCTAAGTAATTTTTTTTCATTCTTTCGTACCTCAAAATGCCACTGGATTGTGGTGGCAGAACACTTTTCGTCTCTCTAGATATATGTGACAATATATCATTCTTTCATAAGGTCATGGCTAATCTGGTTGTAGTGTCAAATTAAATTTGCTGTCTGTACCTCCCCATAACTCTTGACTGCTCTATCTACCAAAAATCCAATTCAATCCAAAATATAATTCTCATTTCCTTTTCACTTATGCCATGACAACATTTAATTTAACCTATTTGATTAACACAAAGTGAGAGATCTAGTGGTTGTAAATGGGTAAATGGGTCAACTAATTCAAGTTGCACTTGTATCTTGATGTCTGCAGTGGTTTGATTGTGCTACCTGCG